GTTAGAGCGTAAAGATGGAAACGCGAAAACGGCGTTTCGAAATCTTCCCACTCTGAAGGCTGAATAAAAAAAGATTGTTTACAGACCCCCAAAACGCCAGCTTCGTGTAGATGAGAGGCTGGTTTGGTGAAAAATTTGTGCGTTTAGGCCAGGGTTCGTCTTCATGTGGACGGGACCTAATACAGAGTAAAACAGACTCTAATCTTGACACGCATTGGAAAATCACATTGAAAACAAATGAGTGATTTTGGTGGGAGTATAAGTGTCAGTGAAATAATTTATTTCTTGGAAAAATGTATGTTTATTTCTAATAGTTAAGACAATCTATTTTATGTGGTTTGGTTCACATTTTGGGAATGTGTAAGATGATTGCATTATTTTTTTGTGTTGAGCTATTTCTTGTTGAAAGTTATTGTGAGATTTGCGTATATGTGAAAAGCAACGAGACTTGAATAAACATAGAATGAGCAGAAGCTGGGAACACAGCTATGTGGAGCAGCCTTGTGTTTACTGTAGCTGTTTAGGTATTAGTCATGTTTGTAATATTTAGCAATTTTATTGGTTATGGTGTTTTAATTACTTAATATTTTAATTTAGAGTTGACGAGGTAGAATTAAACTGTAAAGACCTCCGAAGTGGCAGGCGGTCAAGAGGTAACTTCTGTTAAAGCACGTGTCACCTGATTGTCTGTAAATATATCGATATCTAAAACTTTGTCTTCTATTTCTGTAGTTTTCACTGCATTTAATAAAGAGCCCGTCTAAAGGAAGCCGTGCCAGTGTTGTCACTTTGGAGTTACAGAAGGAAAAGGAAAAAGGATTCTGAAAAATAAATACTGAAGTCAATAAGAAGTAAATAAGTCAGAAATAAAAAGCTGCTTAAGTTCAGTAACTAAGTATTTGTGGCTCCAAGCGACTCTGACAGCTGACAGTTTGAAGAGGACGGGTTCTCTCTGACCCGGTCCAACAGAACAGCAGCTTCAGGACTAAGATTTAATGTCTTTGTCTTTTCTTCCTAAACATTAGTTTTTAGATCATCTTATTTTATTCTAGTTATTCTAACATGTTTGTGGTTCTGGTTCTACTCTAGAGGAACCAAATGTCATTCTGGATGGAAAGATGTGAATCAGAAATGAGAAATAAAGCCATCTTGTCTTGTCTCATCATCTGAATCTTTCACAAATCAAACTGAAACATCTCCATCATTACTTAACACTAGAGGTCCTGGAGAATTCCAGTTTTCCTGCTAGCCCCCCTCCCCTCTTCAAGTTTGTGTATTCACGCTACCTTGCTAAGTGTCCTTGTTGTAATGCAAATAACCTGAGATCTGACCAGCCCCTCTGCACAAGGCTGGATAAAGGTTGAAACAAACTGGCATCAGAAGAAGAGCATGCTCCAAACACTTTTCATTACCTTCCCCTGCAACATCAGACCTTTTTGCAGGGATATCTTGATAAGTCATATCTAAATCTTTTATCTAGGCAAACCTATTGAACAACCAGATATCATACGGGTCCTAGTTCCTGAGCTGAGAACAGGTCATAACCATGATTTTCCAACAAGGCAAGGCAGAACCTATTTATACTGTCCATTCACAAACAGACTCATTTATACTGCAAAGCTCACTATGTAAAATTATTGTATTTTGTCTTATCTCTGTCATGATGGGTTCTCAAAAGGAGACCCAATTATGCAGAACACCACTAGACGGACACAAGGATGAAAGTTTAACACGTTTATTATGCACAACACACAGAATGTACTGATGACTGGTTCGGGCCTGGGTTCTGGTTTCACCGGAGTCTGCGTGAGAGACAGAGCGGTTAGTGACTGCGGCGTTGAGGCAAGGTCTGAAGACAGCTTATGTAGTGGATCCTCTGATGATCTTGACGAGCTGCAGCTGTGCAGGAGGCTCCCTCAGAGGATCCACGGCGGACTCTGCTGGAGAAAGATGGGATTTCTCCAGCTCCCAACAATCTCGCCTTTTCATGTCATTCAACATTTCAGTTTAGAGAATGACAAACAGTATGCTTTCAGTACTGGAGTAACATTTATTTCACCCAAGTAAAGGAACCAGATATGAAGCTGCAATCGTCCCATTTAGCAGTTTTTACAAACCCAAGGTGAGTCCTTCCTGCATTTGTGACAGGTATACTTTGTGCAGTGCACACAGCGTTCAGTGCTGTGGTTCCGGTTGCAGAGATTGCACGCCTTGCCCGCTTATAATAACAATGAAAAAATCTAAAAAAAAAAATTGAGTTTAGCACATATTCCAACAGTAAGAGTTGTAGTATGAACTAGATCAGTTTATTTATGTGTGCTACAAGTTTTGTGGCACTACAATGATCTATAGTGTAACTATTGGCTATTATATGCTTATAATAACAATGAGAAAATCTCCAAAAATACAGTTTGGCCTATCTTCCCAAAGTAAGAAAAAAAGAATGTGAGAACTGTAATTATACAGTCATATGTTTATATGACTATTTTTAATGTATTTATTACTGTTTTCAAAGCTACACTTTATAATATGAAATTGTCTAGAGCTGTTCTAAATGAAATTTCCTTTTGTTTATACTTGTGTATACAAAATGACTAAATAAATCTGTCTAAGTCATAAGTAATCATTGGCTTTTATATGCTTATAATAACAATGACAAATAAAAAAAAATAGAGTTTAGCACATTTTCCCAAAGTAAGAGTTGTAGTGTTAACTAGATTAGGTTATCTATGTATCCTACAAGTTTGGAGGCACTACAATGATCTATAGTGTAGTCATTGCTCATTTTACATGTATTCTAATAATAAAATAGATGTGCCATTTGTCATTTATGCTTTTGCAAATTCCTCAGAAAAGTATTATTTTCGAATCCAATAAATGTGATAATAATCCACCTCTCCTTGGTGATGCTTTTGAATATTTCTCTCAGATTATTTTGCATCTAGCAGAGCACGCTCCTTCTGCACATATTTGGAGCAGTGAGCTTCACATAGGTTTCAATGTAATTCTCCCAGCGCGATAGGAGACTCGCTTTGAGGAAACTACGGTTGTAGCTCACTGTATGGCTTGCTGTGGTGTCTGTTTTGTAGAATAAATATTCCACTGACGAGTTATTAATCTGGAAAAGCCGAATTTGTGCATATATTGCCAGCAGAGGAAAGAGGAGAGAGAGGAGAGAGAGAAGAGAGATTGCCTGAGTTATATTTCCCCCAAAATGAATAATGGTCATTATTGTATAAATGGTCATTATTGTATAAATATTGTTGCTTTCTACAGCATTCCACCTCATGCAGTTATTTTGTTTGTACAGATTAGTTATCCTCTGATCGCTGATGGCTGCGCTGAAATCATTGCGCTGTTGGCATTTAATCAGACTTGAGCTGAAACCAAAGCTGAAGGGGGTGGAAGTTTCTCCAGCCACAGTGCTAATGGGGCATTTACATCTGAAAAGGGATTCGTGAGTTGATAACTACTGCGGGGGGACTGCAGGCTGACGAAAATTCTTGTATCTCCAGGACTTTTAGTGTTAACATCATTTGACTGATTTTCCTCATTTGAAAGTTTGAACATCTAGTAAATAAAGTTTAATATTTAGAACATCTGGAACATGAAAATAATTCATTTACAAGGTAAAAAGTCTGACAAATGTTATTCTGACATTTGGACAGCAGCTGTTTTAAAAGAAAATATTTTATATTAAAATGATGAATTAAAATCAGCATTAAAGTATCAGTGAATGATTTGGTTTGAATAAACAGATAAAACTCACAGCATTTTCTTCACTTTGCAGATTGAATTCTCCAGTATCTCACACAGATGCTTCATTCCAGAGTCTCCAAAGGATCTATCTCCACAGATCTTCTCTATTTCCACTTCAGTCAGATGAAGGTTTGACTTCAGAGCTGAGGCCACTACTTCACATTCAGCCTTATAGAGAGAACAGCCATCAAGTCTGTGATTAGAGGAGAAATAAAGTCAGTTCTAATGAAATCAGACAATCTGGATAATAAACACAGACTGAAACATGATGAGCAAACAGTGATGTCAGCGATGCGTCGGTGCATGCGTGGAGCCCATAGAGCAAAACACTGTATAGGTGCGTGTGTCGCTTCCAGAAAGTCATGTAACCGATACAGGAGTTGTTTTCAACTGACTGACTCGCTAAACTGTGTTTAGAAATGTATCTGTCAACATGATGCATCTGCTAAAAAAATTGTCTCATCTTTTGCTGTTTATCATTAAAATGATCAAGAATTTTGGAGCCTAAAAGGAATAGGAACGTTTCAGTCGTGTTTTTATTTTACTTTTCTCGTTGTGTCATCCTTTGCCTCTCAGTTATTGCTCGACTTATCCGAGTTAAAGATAATTTTCAATTGGCTTATATATGCTTATATACGTTTACATTGCTTATTGGCTCCCTCTAAAAATATCAAAGATATTTTAAATTTAAACATAGATATGAAATCATAAAATATAACCTACAAAAACTTAAATTTTATCATTGTACTAGGTCATAAAATCAATTCAGTTTAATCTGTCAAATAAGCCGCCTGTAGCCTCTTTAAATGTCCAGCAGGTGTCAGTATTCTGTGAGAGCATCAATCCAGTTTGGCTTAAGATGCCTCATTAACCAACACTGCTCCTCATGAATGTCCTGTGTTTGAAACCAAAGAGGATCTCTTCAGTCTCTTCAGGTCCTGGTTCAGCTGCAGACCTGCTTTGTCTCTGCTTTGGTGAGAAGCTCCATTGAACCACAGTGATGGAGACAAACACAGAAGCTTAGCAACAGGTTCAAACAGCTCAGGCTTCATGAGCACTGAACACTGAAGGTTTTAGCAGCAGCAGCATCTTCAGTCAGATGCTGCAGATCTTCTATAAGTCTGTGAAGAAAAGTTCAGTTTTCTCTGCAGCATCTGATGGAGCTGCAGCATCAGAGACTCAAAGGAACTGAAGCAACTGATGAAGTGGCTGATTGAGCTGGATGAAGGACACTACTGGTGATTCTAGAGAGAAGAATGAACTGCTCAGAGGTCTGACTCAGGTCAGACTCCAGTCACTCATTTCATGACTTTAGACTTGATGAAATCACTAAATGAAACATGAACCTGATGGAGGAGAAAGAGCCTGAACTGGCCTACGTTTTCAAATCTTCTACAGGTCAGATGTTGCTAATAATCATCAGTTCCTAACTTCTCCTCTCTCCACAGCCCCACAGACATGTCCAACATTGGAGATGAGAAGCTGCAGAGCAGTGAGATCAGCAGAGTGTGAAGCCTTGTTCCCTACTTTAACTCAGCCAAGGTTACTGATGTCAAACCTGTGATGGTTTGTCACAAGTTTTTCCTGTAGGGCTGGAAGAGGGAAGGATGTGATGGTGAGGAGGAGGATGAAGAACATCTAATCTGGGAAGATGAGATGAACATAGTGGGAAATAATCCCAGCAGGTAGGACTGGAAGACTAAAGCACCAGTGGAGAAGAAAATCTTCCTGGTTTCAGTTCCAGACCAGTCTGAAAGTCTGACTGGGAAAACTAGCAGTAGTTCTATCAAAGCTTTAAACTCAGTTTCCCAGTGAAGCAGTGCCGAGGTGTGTGTGTGTATATATATATATATATATATATATATATATATATATATATATATATATATATATATATATATATATATATATATATATATATATATATATATATATATATATATATATAATTAAATAGAGACAGGGATAATATAAAAATATAGAGATTTTGTATATAGATATGGGTATATATTCTCAATTTTCTGGACTTACTGACCTTCATTTCTTAAAGTAATGATGGCCACTCATTTGTCTTAACTTAGCTTTCTTGTCATAATACAAATTTTATCAGTCTAATGCAGTAGGACTATCAGCTGTGTATCCACCTGACTTCTGCAGAGCACAACTGATGGTCCCAACCCCATTTATAAGATAAGAAATCCCACTTATTAAACCTGACAGGGGACACCTGTGATGTGAAAACCATTTCCGGTGATGACCCCTGAAAGCTCATCAAGAGAATGCCAAGAGTGTGAGAAGCAGTAATCAAAGCAAAATGTGGATACTTTGAAGAACCTAGAATATAGGACATATTTTAAGTTGTGAATCTACATTTTCATATTCATGAAAATACAGAAAACTCTTTGAATGAGAAGGTGTGTCCAAACTTTTGATCTGTATTGTTAACTTGTTGCTGAGTATTTTTTTGATCACAGAAATGGAGGATTACTGATGTTCACTGTTTGGCTCTTCTGGCTACTAGTTCAAGATGTTCAAGGCTCATTATATCACTAAAATAAGGTTTGGCAGCTAAAACTCTAAATGTTTTAGGATATACTTTAAAGAATTAACCTAGTTTCTCCCCTGCTGTTAAATTGTGGCTGTCAGGGATTATGTGGAGCTTTAGCCACTAAGGGAGGGAGAAATTTATGCCAGAGACTGATAAATCACTCTGAATAATGTGTCCTCCTCGCTTCTGAGATGATGGTTACGCTCCTGCCAGATACTGTGACATATATCCCCGCAAGCTTACCTTTCTGTACATCCTTGGACGTATCTCTGCTGTTAGTAAATTAAACAATTTGTTTATTAAATTACAATTTTAAGTAAGTTTTCTTTCTTGTTTTGCATAAATTTGACGTTCATATTCAGCAGCCGTTAACAGTTTTCTTCATGGCATCAGCCAATTAATCCTTTAGATGGTGGCAGTCAGTGGTTCACTCTTTTTAATTTGATTTGCAACATTGCAGACTAAATGCATTGCAGTGTAGCTGCCTGATTATTTAGTCCTTGGTTCTCATGTCTATGGTTAAAAAAGATTTTTTTTTACTCTCCTTAAAATTCATTATTTGAGTATTAGAGAAACAAAAATTTTAGAATTTTGTTTCTTCATCAGTTTATAAATAAAAGGCAAGAAACAACAAATAATTACCCCGTGGACCAAAACACTGATAAAAAATATCTCCCTATTTCTAACAACCCAATGTTGGTGGGTATGTGACTGAGAATGTCCAAAGGCAGAAAGCAGTAAAAGTTCTCCCAGTAATTAGAAGAGGCTGGAATATCTAAAGGGTTTAAGCTCATGTCTCTACAGGTCTTCATGGGGAACATCTAACAGATCAATAAAGGCTGCAAATGAAGTGTTGATGAGGAAAATTGTTCCATACTCTGGAAGCAGAGTTCTCAGAGCTTTGGGAGGATCTAAAAGAAACTAGGACTCCTACAGAAATGACATTTTCTGACACCAGACACACATCAGCACATTTTGGCTCTAATTTACACACTCAGTGGGAAATCTGTGGCAGGAAGAAAAGTTGCTTCTGGATCCAAATTTATCTCGATAACAGCAGTAGCAATGCAGGGATTGATCTGAATGGTCCCAGTTTCAATCAAAGCTAAACAGTGATTTTATAAAAACAGTCAAAGAGACTAAAAAGGTGAATTCTGGGCTAACAGCCCAATGAGTGAAGAGGTGTTTAAAGGTTCTGATGGGTCTCTGACTGATTGGATATTTAGAGAAAACACTGATTTTTTACATTCTGAAGGTTTTCTATTCATTTCAATGGAAGATGGAAACTGATCCAAAGTGGAATTTTTGAAAATGATCCAAATCTCTAAACACCAAAAGCTCCAACAGAGCTGTCCTGAAGGAGCTGAACGTTTAGATGTTTGAATGGTTGAAATAGTCCAAAGGATGAAGGAAGAAGTTAAAGAGCAAAAACATCCAGAAGCAACTAGAACCATGAAGAAGAACCAGGAGGACAATAGAGCTGAATCAGCATCACACCATAAAGACATCTGGACTCACCGAGCCTTTCTGCAGTTCCTCACAGCTGGAACTAGTCTACGTCGTCCTCTATCTGATGTGTTGTACTTCTCCAGGTCTAACTCATCCATAACCTTTTCTGATATCTGCAGCATGTAGGCCAGAGCTGAGCACTGGATCTCTGAGAGCTCCTTCTGTGATCTGTTCTCTGATTTCAGGAACTGTTGGATCTCATGATAAACTGAGAGGTCCTTCATCTCCATCAGACACTGGAAGATGTTGATGCTTCTATCAGGAGTGATACCATAAGTGTTCATCTCCTTGAGATTTTTGATGACTCTCTGGATGGTTCCTGGACTGTTCTCCATCTGACCCAGCAGGCCTCCTAAGAGGCTCTGGTTGGACTTCACAGAGAGGCCATGAAAGAAGCGAGCAAACAGGTCCAGGTGGCCATTTGGACTCCTGAGGGATTTCTCCATGACTTTCTTCATTAAGTCCTCCAGAGATGTTTCTCTGTGTTTTCCTCCCAGGAAGTTCTCCAGCACCTCTGTATTCCTGCTGGTCACGCAGTGGAACATGTAGACTGCAGCCAGAAACTCCTGGATGCTCAGATGAACAAAGCAGTAGACTGGTTTCTGGAAGATCACGCTCTCTCTTTTGAAGATCCCTGTACAAACTCCTGAAAACACAGAGGCCTCTCTGACATCCAGACCACACTGCTCCAGGTCTTCTTGGTAGAACATGATGTTTCCTTTCTCCAGATGTTCCAAGGCCAGCGTCCCAAGCTTCAGAAGAACTTCCCTGTCAGCCTCCATCAGCTCCTGTGTACTCGTCTCATGTCCTACATGGTACTTGTTCTTCTTCCTTCTAGTCTGGACCAACAGGAAGTGTGAGTACATGTCAGTCATGGTCCTGGGCAGATCTCCTCTTTGCTCTGTGTTCATCAGGTCCTCCAGAACCGTAGCAGTGATCCAGCAGAACAGTGGGATCCCACACATGATGAAGAGGCTCCTGGAGGTCTTGATGTGGGAGATGATCCTGCTGGACATCTCTTTATCACTGAACCTCCTCCTGAAGTACTCCTCCTTCTGGGCATCAGTGAAGCCACGTACCTCTGTTACCCTGGAAACACAGGAAGGAGGGATCTGATTGGCCGCTGCAGGTCGGGAAGTTATCCAGACGAGAGCCGATGGAAGCAGGTTCCCCTTTATGAGATTCATCATCAGAATGTTGACTGATGACTTCTGTTTGAGGTCAGAAACAAGCCGACTGTTCTTAAAGTCCAGAGAAAGTCTGCTTTCATCGAGGCCATCAAAGATGAAGAGAAGCTTCCAGACAGCCAGCGTCTCTGCTGGGAGCTTCTGGAGGGTTGGATGGAAAACATGGAGCAGCGTGAGAAGACTGTGCTGCTGATCTCTGATCAGGTTCAGCTCCCTGAAGGAAAGAAGAACCACCACACTGATATCTTGGTTTTCAAAGCCCTCTGACCAGTCCAGTATGAACTTCTGCACTGAGAAGGTTTTTCCAACACCAGCGACGCCATTGGTCAGAACCACTCTGATGGCTCTATGTTGGTCAGGGAAGGCTTTAAAGATGTCCTGGCACCTGATTGGAGAACCATGGAGGTTCTGGATCTTGGAAGCTCTCTCCAGCTGCTTCACCTCATGTTGGGTATTAACCTCTTCACTCTGTCCCTCTGTGATGTAGAGATCAATGTAGATCCTGTTTAGGAGGGTTCTACTTCCTGTTTCATCAATTCCTTCAGTCACACGTTCACACCTCCGCCTCAGACTGATCTTATGTTCCTCTAGAACCTCCTGCAGACCAACATCTGCTGAAACAGAGAAGAAAAGACGGCTGAAGGAAAAAAGCTGATTTAGTTGGAACCAAACCATCTGGAACATCAGGAGGTGTTATAGAGACTTAGACTTAGAATTCCTCTATTGTCATTGCAAAAAAAAAAACACAAGGTATATCTTGACAACGAAATGTCGATTACTTGGCTACCAGTGTAATAGAGCTAAGTCCTTATTCCTGCACAATAAATATGTTTTCTATGAGTAAGAGCTAGCTATATAATACAGGGTAAGAGTATATTTACACATAAATATTGCACTGAGTTATTGAGGAAGTTACATCAATAAATAAATATTGCACCAAGTTAATGAATATTGCATTGAAAAGTTATTAAAACAGAAAAATTTAATTGAAGACAAAACTAAACTAAGGTGCGTGTATTGTCCATATCCATGGGGGGAGGAGTGTTATGTGGCGTTAGGTAGTCTAATGGCCAGGGGGAAGAAACTGTTCAGTTGTCTGGTCGTTCTGCAGAAGATGCTGCGGAACCTTTTGCTGGACGCCAGGGGGGAAAAGAGTCCATGGTTGGGGTGGGTGGCGTCGGAGAGGATATGGTGAGCCCTGGATAGGCAGCGCCTGTCCGCGATGTTCTTGATGCAGGAGAGCAGCGCCCGTGTGAACTTCTCCCCTGTCCTCACCACCCTCTGTAGAGACATCCAGTCAGAGGCCCTGCAGCTCCCAGACCAGATAGAGATGTAGCTGGTCAGTACGCTCTCAATGCCTCTGTAGAAGGTCTGAAGGATGGGGAGTGTTGTCGGAAAATTTTATCTTTCTTCTATTATATATTAATTTATCCTATTTACTCACTCTAAAAGTTTTCACTCAGTCTGTTGCTCTCTCAAGGCCACACATTTCTCTCCAGGCTGGTGTTTGTAGACCAGGCATAGCTTTTTCCCATAACAAATCAGATTCTTTCTCAAGGTTTATTCATCACGTTACTGTTAACCAAAGTGTGTGTAATTTGTTATGGCTCTGAGTGGTTTCCATTGTTGTAAGTAAGGGGGGACGAACGCTGTCCAGATTAGAACAAAGCAGAATGCTGTGCCATTAAGGCTGTATGATGAACTTTTCTCTCTTTGCAAAGATATAAATAAATGAGCCGACTGAGTGAAATCCATCGATCTCCATCGATGAATAGTTGAATACTTTTTTCCCATGACAGGGAGGCGGGAGGGATGCTCTCTTCATCCAACGCAGGAAGTGCAGGCGCTGTTGGCCCTTCTTCACCAGATGAAGAAGGTAATTAGAAGGTCTCTTCCCTCACTTGATCAGATGCTAAATGATCCGATCCATCCTCAGAACCAGAACCTTGTTCACTTGTCAGACAGCATCGTTGTTCATCTCTATTTTGTGTTCAGTATCTGTTCACTGTCAGGATCTGATTCCCAGAGCAGAGAAGATCAAGAAATATTGACAGAAAACTGCACCATTTTTAGCAACATCAACTCTTTTTTGCACTATTGGACCAGTTCTATTTAACCTTCTGCAACAAACACAGCAGCTCCAGAAGAAGCAGAGAAAAAGAAAAAGGTTTCCAGCATTTTCCAATATCAATGAAGGAAAATAGAGGAAATGCTCTAATCTAGCAGAGATACTATCATGGTCCATGTTCTGTGTTTCTTTGTTTTGCCAGTTCTCCGTCTGATTGGTTTCTCCCTCCTTCATTTATTCCAGCTGTCCATAGTTCTGTAATTACCCCTGCATGTCTGTAAGTATCTGTTTGTTCTCTGTGGTAGTTTTATATATGTCTTAACCTCGTTGTCTCATGGTGTTCCTGGTTCAGGCTGCGTCTATTAATTGCTTATACTGAGCGATATTTTCAATTGTTGCAGGCAGATACAGCTCAAACTGTATGACGAAACACTCACGACCACCATCAGGAATAGAAAGGTCAGGAGAAAATAAAGCATGTTTGAAATTCAGCAGGCTGTCTTAAGATTGCATCAGAGCGTTGGGCCACACAGAGTGAGAACATAGATCATGTTGCGCAGATCTGCTCATTAGTTCAGATGTGGGTGCATGAACAGACATTTGTGTGTGCACATACACACACGCACCCATATCAGTGTGCCACTCTGCAGCACTTCTCAGCAGGTGAAAGAAATCTGGCCCAATCAGCAGCACCCTCAACTTGGGTAATAAGGAATCCACAAACCCCTTTACTGGTTTTGCAACAGAGCTGAGGAAGGCAAACACAGCCTCCAAAGCAGCATTTCGTGGAAAAGGACTTATAAGGACTACCGGTAAGCCATTAACTGGGCTCAATTGATTGTAATTTAACTGTAGTTTCACATTTCAGAGATAAAATACAGAATTTATTGAAGTAACAGTTTGCACTGCTAGTTTTACAGTTTGGTTCCGCTAAATGTATGTTAAGATATCTAATGTAAAGACTTATGTCCTAAGAAAAAAAAATGTAATTCTAGAATGTTTGGTTTTGTTTGGTTCAAATTCAACCAGATATGGAATTTAATAGTGTAAGACTTGAATTCATGGTTTAAATCGTAAAAGAAATGTATGTTTAAGGTTAAAAAAGGAATTAGTCATTAAGATAATTTCTTTTTCTTTTTTTTTTGACAAATGACAAAACATTTTCAGTCTGATTCATCACCTGTAACGAGATGAAAAAAGAACAGCACAACCAAAAGACACGGTACGAGATATACAATAAAGCAACACCTTGAAACTATCGCTAAAGTAATATTATTAAGTCTGACTT